TAATCATTCACTTAAACCACTTAAAAGGAAGACAGTTTTATATAACTGACTGTTTAGTAAAAACTCTAAAAACTGTAATTCAGTTACTCTCTAGATATTGTGAACTACTTCCTTATCTAAACTGTACTTCTAAAGGCTACATATTTTCTATAACAGCTGTCTTGCTATATTAAAATCTGATGCTTTGTTTGGCTCTTGTAGAAAGCCCTTCAGTTGACTGATTCTTTGGTTGGTTGGTTGGTTTTTTTTTACAGGAGTACAATAAAATGAGGAGACAACCATCCTGTGATCTTGTCAACAGACGCATGAATATTTAAGAAACATAAGTCTGAAACACGATCTTAATAATGAAGAACTCGACTCATGGAAAGAATATGTAACATTTCAGACAAAAGACCCTTCCAGCAAATATGTTCTTTTCATGATGATTGCAACAATATTCAGTGTCAGTTTTCAGTCTTACTTGTTAAGACTGTTTGCTGTTCATTGAAATGCCACAATACCAGTACAAGGAATTTTTAACACCTTAGAGTTTGTAGAGCAGCTTGTGTAGGCTAACCTTGGTTTACTGCAGGTGCTGAATTATAATTTTAAAAATGTGGATCACTTTCCAGAGATTACATGACACTAGGAAAACATCATGTGCAGTAGCACAGTGCTGCGGTGTCTCAGTCAAACTAAAGCCTAATCCCGCTCAATATTGATGACAATAGCAAATGCCTGTCAGTCCACCTGACATGCTGTTTGGGCAGTGTCATGTGTCTGCATGTTCCTGCTGCGCAGGGCACTGGCCTTCTACCATAGACACACATTAAAAACTAGGCTGTGTGGTACCTACTGAACATGTCAGGCAGCTGGAGCAGGAGAAAAGGGAAACCTTATTTAATTCCCTTATTAAAGGTAGTCATTAACACAGCATCAGTTAACTTCAGTATTTTGTATGAGGTGTAGTTTACCGAGTTTATGAATTATTTCATAGAGTGTAAAAACTTCATGATACATTGTGAAAGCTGAGGGAAAGTACTGGGTCACCTGCCCCAAATCTGGCATCAGTTTTCCAGAGTTTCACTGTATAAGAGGTAAATGCTGGTGCTGAACAGGTGCATTTTTACAGGCACAGTAGGAACAGGGCTAATGCCCCATCTTGGCCTGTACGTAGGAGCAATCTAGTTGAGAAACACTGAAGATTGCTTCAACTCTGATCTCTATAATGGTGAGCTTCGTAAAATACAGTTTTTTCTGAAGACTAGATCAGTACTTGAGGCATATCATGCTAACAGGGAAGTGAATAAGAAGAATGTATAATTGTATGTAAGATGAATAGAAGTGTTGGGGGAATGTTGCTACTGACCTCTTGAATTCTGCATCACTGTGGAGCAGGGGCTGTTAGTGACAGGCTGTTAATAACTGGTGGCTATATGAACTGACTTGGAGAAGGAGAGATCAGGATGTTCTGAAGATAGTGTGGGCTTAGGTATTAGCCAACCAAGCCTTTCCCCTTTATGGTAATAGCTGAAGGGGAAACCATTCTTTGCATAGTTCAACTTTTCACAGACTTCATACCAAAGCTCTATACTGGACAAATCAAGCCGTCTGAAGAACTTAAGGGAGTGATTGCACTGCATAACATGTGATTGGGTTTTGCATCTGCCAGTGCTATCTGTGCATTGTGCTGGCCTCTGGAAAGCCTACAAGTAATTCAGACAAAGGTGTGGTCGGCCTTTTTGGGAGAGATGGAGAAGATGCAATGTGCAATTCTAATGGTATTAAGATATGTACCTTTCAATTAAACATTGAAATGTGCTTAACTGAGTAACTTTTTTCCCATTTGTTATAAAACATCTCAGTAGGAAGCTGATAAAGTGACTTACATATGCACAGTACTGGAAAACTTTCAGGCAGGAGTTAAGAGATTATGGAGATTTCAAGTGGGTTTTTTAGAAATTTTTTTTTTTTTTTGGGGGGGGGGTTGGTTTAGAGGTTGAGGCTGCTTGGGAAAGGCTACAAAACCAACAAGAAAAACACAAGGCGCTTGATTAAAATAATTTCAAGTTGGTTCATGATTATTCTAAATCCTTTGAGATATTCAAGTGTCAAGATTGAAAAGACTGATTTATGTAGCTTAGACTGTTCAAATTTGACTTCAGTCCTCTTCTGTTAATGATCTAATAAGTATATATCACCCATTTCTATACATTCCAGTAATTACATGGATGGTGCTTGCTTGAGAGAATGTCACTCAGATTTCCAATCCCGAGATTTGAGTTTTGCACTGATCTGAGCATCCCAGTTTGACTAGGTATAAATTTAGCTATGTTTCTGTGCCTAGCAATGACTCAGAGCAGCTATGGTTCTTTTGATAAAGAGAGCAATGCTGTGGTATTACTCTGAGCTGATCTTGAACCAGATGCATGAAAAAATGCCAGCAGACTGTCCTCTGCTCATTTACATAGCACAGCAGCACTCTGAACGAGTGAGTGCACAGGATTATTTCCTATAGAGTGGTTGCTCCGGATACTGCATCACATCCACAAATTTATGTACTGTTTGCCTAAGAAGCAAGGGATTGAATCCCCCTGACGCTGTTGTGAGATAGAACACAAACCATCATTTGTTACAGACTGAGAATTGAGTAGATACTGATTAAGGAGTCACAGCACCAGTATCTTTTTATTTTCATCTAGATTCTTCTGAAATTTGAGGTCTTAAACTCACAGTAGACAACAGAAGCAGCTAACAAAGCAGTTCAAACCTTTCCTCTTAAAACAATTCAGAGCCATGATGCCTGTATACATACTTCACGATTGTCCTTTCCCTGACATCAGCCTTGGACTTAGCTGTAGGATGACTCTCATGCTACTTCATAAAAGAGAAAATATGGGAATAAAGTTTAGCTTTGAAAGTGCATATAGTAAATATAAGTTCCTGCACTGAAGTGTCAGGTGCCATTCTAAACTTCTGCTATAAGCAAAAGACATACAAAACCATCCTGTGCAAGCCAGCTGCTGTTATAAAAAGTACTACTGCACTGGATAGTACTTCATTATTTTGATGGAATGTTAACTTTTTAATCTTTCTTCTGTCTTCAGTTACTTTTGCAGCAGTCTTGCTCATTTCTTAACTATAACATCCACCTTCTATACTAGGGATGTGGTAAAGATACAAACTTCATAGCCATAAATCAGCATTTGATACCACCCTACTTTGCTTTGTATAGTAAGGCAAGTTCTCTAGCACCCAAGCACGGTGTCTGGACTTACTTTATGTTTTGTAAAGATGATGGGGTAGAAGCAGCATGCTTGGCTATCTCAGTACTTAATGCTTGCTTGCTCATACAAGAAAGCATTGGATATAATTACAGTGAAAGTAAATCCTCAACTGTTGCTTTATTTTTGCTATATGCTAACTGAAATAATGATGCAATTTTAGAAATAAGGCTCAGAAGTATGATGGACAGCTACTGGCAATTTATCTCCAGCGAGACTTCTGCTTAGAACTTAAGTACAGGCAGTAGTTTCACAGTTCTGAATACATTAGGATTTGGTAATCATGTTTTCTTCCTGTGTTAGCCTATTTGACACAGCATTCGTCCTGTATAATGCTGTGGCTGGAGTGCTTCTCAGCTGCATCCTTAACAATGAGCAGAAAATTCCTGAGACATAATTGGCACATGCAAAAGATTGTATCATACAATAACTAAGTTTAAAATGTGGATATTAAATTTAAAACTCTACAAAAATCTACGGCTTCTTAGATACACTATCAACAACTTCTGCTATATGTTGGGAATGAATAGATGCAAGATACCATTTCCTACTTGGGGACTTACTATTCCTTTCAAAAGTAATTATATTCTCTTACTTTCAAAATCTTAAATATTTATATTAAACAGCTATATTACATTAACACATAAAATTATTTATATGCAGACTTTTACCTGACCTTTCAGTTTTCTAGTATTGCTTACCTGGTAGCAAGTATTAATCATTAGTGCTATATCTGACAGCACAGGCAATTTAAAAACCTTATTTGAGGCAAGATGCAGTAGTTTATTTAAACTACTGTTTTAGAACGACATTAATGAGTTCTCAAGAGGGCTGCTAGAGAGGGAAAGCATAACTGTAGCCATCCTAATATGCTTCCTGGTGCAAGTTAAAATATTAAATATCTTGCTTATGAGATCTATTCTTTAATGGTGAATAGATGTTCTTGCATAAAGACAAGTGGTGTATTCATAATTGACTAGTTTACTATGGTGTTCCAAAAAAAAAAACCCAAAACCCAAACCAAACATTCTGCTTAAAGATGCTACTTTTTTGTGTACAACTTTTGCTATAGTCTCTTTAGTATTAGGAAGTTATCGCAACTTATAAATCAGCTGGTAACACTTTGTATTCATTCTACTGGAAGAAGTCATGTTTCTTTTCACTGAAGTCATTATTTGACTACAATCCACTGAAGAGATCACTGAAGTCTTCACCAGTTACATAATTCCAGTCTTTAAGTGTAATGTGTAATTCCTCTCAAGGAACACAGATAAAAACAGTTTACTTTTCAAGACTAGAAAAGTCTGGTCCTCCTTTGCTGTAATTGCCAGAAATTTCTGCCCCACTGAAGTCAAATCCAGGGTTCTGATGGAGATAAGAGAAAAATTTAGTAAATCCAGGGTTCTGATGGAGATAAAAGTTAAGTAGATAGATTATTCTTAATAAAAATATAAAAAAACCCAACCCACAACCAACAAACAAAAAGCTCAAAATTGTTCCTGTTAATATTCTGCCATTCTAACAAGGACACATAATGATCAACTTGTTATCCATTTGTCATGGCACTGAAATTCTTGGAAAATGCATCAACAAATAAAGCTTGAATTGTCATAGTTTGGTTGCTGGCTGCTAAAGGGACTTTGTAACGCTGTTCGCAATTTGGCAAGCAGTTAGATCTCCCAGTACAGAAATATTAAGGAAAGCTTAAGAAAAATTTCTGGCTTCTGGTGTTACTATTTGAAAATATAAGTACCTACCATGCTGGATAACAAGTTTCATAAAAGTTATGTTCTTTGCTGCAGTGTGTAGTGTGCTGATTCAGCTGTTAAGTAACAAGTTGTAATTCTACAGCTCTGCACAAGAATAGTTGTGTGCCAAAGGTGCACCAAAACAATTCAAGCATTTTTAGTAAAAGGGCAAGGAAAATATTTTCCAGCTAACTATTCTACATCATCTGATGTTATAAACAAACATATTCAATAGTTTGATGTTAGAAGTTCATTGTAAATACGGCTATGTCATAATTCTAGATAATAACAGAAATTGCGTGTAGCCTACCTTAAGTGAAAAGCTGTATTATGCAACAAACCCTAAAACAGCAATATCCCTCCCCCATCTTTTCACAAACCTTCACACAGACTACAGTCAGAATAACCTCTTGAAAGTACATTGATAAAGTCTTGTGAGTGTTATATATATTGAACTACAAGATGAGTTTCCATGGCACTGGACAGCAGAACAATTTTGCTCAGCTTTCACAGCCATAACTTCTGTGTGCAAACACAAACTACAAGGAGTAATTATGGTCCTTTTAACTTGCCTCTCTTTGGAATCGCTCCAGTGTAAGTTTCCTTTGCATCTGGTCCTGTACCCAAGGATCAGCAGCATATTCATTTTCTAAAAGAGATGTCCAACAATTTCCAGCATCTCGATTTGTCTTCATTAGAATGATTCGTATCAGCTTCCTGTCTTCTAGTGAATGAAAACAGACACATAGAACAACCATTAAACTCAATCTTATGTGCTAGCCTTTTCTGTCGTTGTGCTGAATTCACCATTAGCAAGCACAGGATTTTTTGGTAAAGTAATTTAAATTCTTAATACCAATGCCAACAGGATTATTGGTAAATAAATAAACATTAACAGGAAACAGAAAGGCTGAAGCAAAGACAGCCTACAGAGCCACCTCTCCCCTTTCTGGCCTGTAGAATGCTGAAGCTATTTTAAGGGAATAAAACACAGTTCATAAGTACTTCTGATGCAAACATAAACTAACCTTTTAGAGAGGTTCACAACAGATAAAAGATTTAATCTATTAGTATATACACCTCAGCTAAGGCAATAATGAAGGATTTGAGGTCAGGCTTTACAGAGTGTTATTACTAATAAAAGCCAAAACTGAGTTTTAGCAACATATGGAGGCATAATCAATTTATTTAGACATGGACACTATGCCTATACACAACATGTTGGAAGTACATTTCAAAGTTAACATGTAGAATGTTTAGTTCTACTTAATTGAATAAATACAGCATTATAAAGTGTATTTTGAAGATTATGCACATACTGGAAGAGTAGCCTTCACAACATTTATTTACACTTCTAGCTTTCATGTTTAAGTTACTAAATGATTAATCAATATTTAGAGTAAATATTGAATGGAAAACAAAATCCATCATAGGAAAACATTAAGTGAGAGGCACAGTCCACTAATATGATTGTCCAAACCCAAAATATTCTGAACACTTTACAATATTTATGATGTAACAATCAGAGAAGCTTTTTTTGCTCAATATCTGTAGGTACCTTACTGTAATTTTTAGATTTCTTTTTGATTCTCTTGGACTGTAGGTTTTGTCACCCATCCCAAAAATATAATGCATCAGAGAAGGAGAAAAACCAAAATAACAATTATGGAGAGGCCCAGACCATACGACTGTACTGTAATTGTCCAGCTTTAATGAGGGTTTGCAGAAAACTTCTCACTATATGGATGCATTTGTAATCCATTGTCTCCTACCTTCCAAGCTATGGCATTTTTCCATTAACCTTAATCTCTAGGGCTTCTGCACTACCTCAGCTCCTCAGTCTGGCAATAATGATTGTCTTTTTTACAAAGCTACGTACAGGAAGAAAGTAATCTTTCCCATTAAAAAAAAAGGGGGTAAACTCTTCTGCAGCCTATTTTGAGAAGTTCTACTGCCCTCATGTCATTTCAGATGTGAGTTATTACCTAATGTCCATGTTCCTTCATCAGTTATTGTAGAGTCAAAAAGTTTACCCTGCAAAAGACATGTACAATATTACAAAACAGGAAAATCTGTTCAGTATCCAGTTCGTGTTGAATTAGATTTTTCATATTGAAAAGTTTTACTCCCAACTTACCTTCTTGTTTTCTACTGAAAATCAATAGGGTGATCGGGCCCTATAACTACAGAGTTGCTCACAGACAATTAAAAAAGTATCTTTCGTTACACATTTTTTTTTTTTTAAATTAAGGATTTAATACAGTAAAAATATCTGTCACTGTTTCAGTATCTCAATTCACAGAAAGGTGTTGTGTTTCTCAGGAGGTAATGCCATTTTTAATAGATTTGCCATGGAAATCCCAGTGTTTCTGCCGAGGGTAAAGCTCAGCTGTGGTGCAGTGTACAGACACTGTACTAGGAAGAAGTGTTCGTTACCAATGTGAAAGTAAATCTGCTTTTGAGCAGGTTTATTGGCTTTCAGCAGTGATCGAAGCTGGCACTCAAACACTGCCCAAATCACGGCAAGAGAAGGGCGCAAATCCGCGTGAACGTGTGCTCTTTAATTTTCCCATCGTCTTTAAGAGCTGGTGCAGTTGCACAGACCTGTTTCTAACACCCACCTCCGATCGTTTATCAAAGCGGAGCTATTTCAGGGCGAGAAGGAACAGGCGCAGCTCGGCGGGGAGGTGCTGGAACCC